TCCCCAAGATTCCTGTACTGAAGTCCTAAAACCCCCGGGCCCCGCCAGCCATGTGATGGTATTAGGAGGTAGGGCATTTGGTTTGATTAGGTTTCAATGTGGTCATGTGGGTAGTTCCCTCGTGATGGGATTAGCGCTTTACATGGAAAGAAGAGCACCCTCTTCGCACAGTCTCCCTGTAAACACACAGCAATCTGGCAGCTGTCTACAAGCCAAGAAGTGAGACCTCACCGAGAATTGGATTTGCCGGCGCCTTGGCCTTGGACTTCCACCCTCCAGAACAGTGAGAAATAGATGTGTGTTGCTTTTAAGCCGCACAGTGTACGGTATTTGTCATAGCAGCTTGAGCAGACTGAGACATGGTATAACCTAGTAGTTACCCACTGCTGCATAACCAGGGCAAAACTTGGCAGCTGAAAACAGCAACCAGTTATTGCAGTTATTGCTTCTTGTGGAAGAATAATTATTTTTCATGATTCTTGGGCCAGCTAGGGGATTCTCTTGATGTGGGCGGGGATCAGTGATTTCAGCTGGGCTTATGGGTTGGCCTGCAGTCAGCTCATGGGCCCACTGGGGGCTGGCCTGGGGTGGCCACGGCAGATGGGCTGGCTCCACCTGGTGCCTCATCCTCCAGGAAGCTGGTCAGGCTTGGGGTCCAGGTGGGGACTGTGATCCTGCAAGAGAAGTGAACCTCGGAACTGGTGTGACCTCGTTTCCACCACATTCTGTCAGCTAGTCCCCAGATTCAAGGTGAAAAGAGACAGACTCCACCCCTTAGTGAGAGGAGATGCAAAGGGACGTGAGTCCAGGAGGCTAATCGAGCCCATCCTGCGGTCCATCTACTGTACTGCTGGTCTAGTTTCACTTCAGAAAGGAAGAATTTGGTTCAGAGAAGTGAAATATCACAGGCTAGACCTCAAGTTCCTGCAGGGATGTATCTGTGGGTCTGTATGTCTCTTTCTGCCTCTCCCCCAAAGATGGAGGGATAGACGAGTTGAGAGCCGCTGTGTCAGCCTCTCCTACTCCCTCCAAGATGCTATATTTTGGTTCTACAGTGGGAGCCACAGACCAAGTTGTCGGTGTCCATAGGCACAGCTGATCCCGCACCTAGTGAACCGTCACCCAAAGGCCACGGTTGACCCCCGGCCAGGCTGCTGTCATTTCTACTTCCTACCTCAGCCCCTCTTCTGGGTTTGGGACCCAGGTTGGAGGGAAGGGAGGGGTGGCATTCACAGCATGTGCTGGCATTCGAGGGCAGCTGCTTATTCAAGGAAGCAGGCAAAGGCTTCACGTTTTAACTCCTCCTTCCGGAAATGGAAACAACCAACTTCACATGTTCCTCCAGGGACCTTGTGTTTCAGCTTCACCCAAAAGTCTCACTGTATGTTTTACTCTGTTTTAGCCCACAGCTGGCCCCTGGGCCGCTTGGATGTTTGGCTCCCTGTGTTCAAGGGTAGGAAGTAGTGACGGGCGCTTGGAGGAATTCCCAGCAGCTGTGAATCACAGCGACGTATTCCCAAGCGTGGATGCGGGTCAGAGGGTATTCTCCAGGAATGTTCTATGATTGCAGATCCTGTCCCAGACCCATTGCATCAAAATCTCCACGGCAGAGGGCCTGGGAATCTATAGGGAGCAACTCCAGAGGTTCTGAGGCAACAGGCAGTAGAAAGCCTTATCCGGAAAGCTCTGACCTCTGCAGAGGGCATCTCTGTCCTTGGCTGTGCCGGCAGCTGAGTTGGGAAGGTACAGGACTGTGCATGGGCTTGGTGGCTTTCAGCCCAGAGGGAGCTTAAGAGGGTATGTCGTGGTGAGCCAGAGGGGTCCCTGGCTCAGTGACTAGGATGCATTCACCCTCCCTTTTTGTATAGGGGTATTGATCATGCCTGTCCAACGTCTAGTCCCTGTCCTTTTAGTAAATGCCCTGTCTTCAGCTGGATCCTTCCCACCACCAGAACCTGAGACGAGGATGTGAGGGGAAATAGTCTACTTGGGAGGTGACCCCAAAAAGCCTTTTTGGGGGACAGGGATATGAGGTGGGGAAGGAAAGGCAACCAGTACACAATGCATTAGTGAGTGGTTCCCCGCTGTGGGCAGCCAGGCTTGATTGCCTGGGGATTCTGGGAGGATGCAGAGAGCATCTTGGAGTTGGGCTTCCTGTGGGGTGTTTGTCAGCCAACACACTCATCTTGGGTTCGGGGCTCCTCCTGGGAGGTAAGTCCCTGGCACTTCCAGCCTGCCCTACACGGGGGCTGAGTATGCTTCAGCAACCAGAGGTAGCCTTGAGAAACTCGCAGTTCCTTCCATCCAGATGCCTCGCGGTGGTAATGAGAATACCCAGGGAAGGTGGGCAGGACACAGAGCCATGGCTGTGAACCTCCTTCCCAGTGCCTTTAGAGTGTTACTTCTCTCCCATTCTCCATCATTCTGGTCTGGCTAGTACCATCCACTCCGTTCAAGTCCCAGATGGCATCAGTGGGTCAGAGATCGGCATCTATTCCAGTCAACTCGTGAAAGCCCACCCTGGAACTTCTAGAATTTGGGGAAGAAAACACTTTTGCTGGGATTGCCTACCTGCCAGAGTGTGGGCCACATGGAGAAGGAGAGTGAAGCCAACATGGAGAAGAACAGAATCAAGAGAGGGGACATGATTTACCCTGGATCCAGCTATACCTGAAGCTAGTATCATTTTGGGGCCAATTACATGGACCAGTAAATCCCTATTTTTGCTTGAGGCACTTTGTGTTGGAATTGAGGGTCTTTGGGAACCCAAAGAGTCTGACACCCATAATGCACTGTTCTGGGAGAGGCACATTTTGGACTCAGGCATTTGCAGAGCTTAGGACATGGACCAGAAGTAGAAAAGTGTTTGAGGTTCTGATAGCTGCCTCTGGCAGTGGGTAGAGTCATGTGTTGACACAAATATACAAGAGCTCAAGTAATCAAGCTTGGGGATTGCTGGTTGGGGGTTAACATGGACTAGTTATGGCAGTGCAAGGATCTCTTCTCCATCTACCTCCATGGTAGTGATGGAAGACCCCTGGGCACAGAACATGGACCAGATATCATGGTGGCCTGACTTGGAACCCCCAGGGTCCTGTGTGTTGAGCAAGTTGCCATGGTGACACATGGCTACTGGGATACTCTGTATAAAACTTTAGCATGGGAAAGACTCCAGAAAAAGGTTCCAATCCTGGGTTCAGTGGGTGGGCTTTCAAGGGCTCTTAGGAACCCTGAAATGGAAACGATTCAAGTGTGATGCCCACAGCTTTCATTGTATTTGCAAAGGGGATTTCTGTCCCAGAAAACTTTGGGCTCCAGGGAACTCTTAAGTCAGAGTTTTCAAATTCTGATTTTTGGTTACCCACGTTCCTCAGGAATGCCTTGGTGGGAGAGGGAGGCACTGAAAGGAGGAGTGTAAAATGGGCTGGGGAGAGAAGTTTAAAAGCCACAGCCACTCTGATGTCCCTGAGTACCTGGCGCTTTTCCTTCCGGCTCTTTCCAAGCCCTGCCCAAACTCCCAACAGCCTCTGGTGCCCCGAGACCTGCCTCCATGGAGACCCCAAGGTCTCCTTTGGACGTGGCCCCTGGCCTCAGAGGAAGAACTCGTCCCAGACGCAGCTTCTGAGCCACAAGGGAGCCCTGGTGTGTTCTGCCCTCTATGGGTCTCCCCCCACCCCCCGCCAAGTCCCAGGAGGCTTCCTGGGAGGCGATTCTGCCCAGGACAGACGTCAGCAGTGAGTCAGGGCTCAGATCTGATCCCAGCTGGTTTGCCCCAGGGATCTCTGTCTTTCTCAACACCCGGCACATGTAGGAGTCAGCTGGCTGGTCCTTTGAGAGCTCTCGCCCATAGAAAGAGAAATTCATGGAAAAGTCCCAGAGAATGAATGCATGCACTGTATCAAAGCAGGCAAGGGCTGCTTCCTCTCCCTCAATTGGATGTGTTGGGTGGGGCTGGGTAACCGAAGCTGGTGTAGACAGGTGGCCCCTGTGCAGTCACACAAAAGAGCCACACCTCCTCTGCTCACCCAAGTGATAGTCTTTGGCCTCTTGCTCCAAAACAAGAGAGCCTTTTCAGAATCCCATGATGTGTGTGGCAGCCAGCACCCCAGCTCCGTGTCCCAAGGAAGCTCACAGGAAGAACAGGTGGTGCCCTGGACAGGACCCCAACCCCATGCCCAACCTCAGGACTCTGGCTGTCTTTGTAAATAACGCTAGGACTTGGGTCAAACCCCAGGAACAGGGGATAGTGGCCCAGAAAGATGGACACCTGGATACCTGGCATGTTGAATCCAGCAACCCACCCTCAAGATTCCAAGTCGCCAATGCTGAGTGGGCCCAGAGATCTGCATTTCATACCACTGATAAACTGCACATATATCTGCTTATGCATCCTATGCATATGCATTGGTTTGTTAGTGTCCCCCCCCATCATTAATGTCCACGCAGAACCTCACAAGGTGACTTTCTTTGACAGTAGTCTTTGCAAATGTAATCGGTTAAGGATCTCAAGGTGAAATCATCCTGGATTTAGAGTGAACCCTAAATCTAGTGACTGGTGTCCTTATAAGAAGGGAGGCACACAGGAAAGAAGCCATGTGAAGACAGAGGCAGGGATGGGAACACTGCAGCCACGAGGCAGTATCCTCCCTTAGTGTCAGCAGGGAACACCTGTCAGCATCTTGGTTTAGACTTCTGGCCTCTGGAACTGTGACGGAATCGATTTCTGTTGTTTTAAGCGACCAAGTTTGTGGCAATTTGTTACAGCAGCCTTAGAAAACTACTACTGTATATCTGTGCTTTATATATAAAAATGTGATACTTTGTGTGCATCACTGCACCCCCAAGAACCAACTCGCGATCCCTGGAGGGTGATATCGCCCATGTTGAAAATGCTTTTGGGTCTTATAAACAACAGCGGAGTAATTCTTGAACAAACCCAGGGAGACCTCTAGGGTTTCAGGAAGTGGACAACTGAGGTATACCCAAATCCAAAACGTTTAATGCCTTTGTGTGGAGCAAATGATCAGGCAAACAAGGAACATCATGTTTTCCTGGCTGAAACAGAGTGTGTGGAACAGAATTAAAGTAGTCTCATCGAATGATTTGTTTCACAGGAGAAGCAATTCCAGAGTGCAGGGAGGGGGAAAAAAGGTCTCAGAATCCCCTTCTTTCAGCCTGTAGAGAGAACATTCTCCAGCTAGTTGGAGGAATGTTACTCCAAATGATGCTCTTCCAGATTAGTGGATTTGCCCAGAAAACGCAAGTAGTTTCTAAACGGGAAAGTAAGAGGAAAATAATATCCTGACACCCACTTTCCTCCGGATGCTCATGGTGCTGAGCCTTCTGTCCTGTGAAGAACAGTCCCAAGCAGGCATCCTCAAGAAGGAATCTGGAGTGTTTGAATGAGAAGCCTTTAATCATCAGGATAACCTCTGATGTTTGTCATGTGCTTCCTGTGTGCTGGGCACTGGGTTGCGGACTCCACAGCTGCTCTTATTCGCCCTACTACAACCCAGTGAATGAGGTAGGCGTGTCCCCCATTTTACAGATGAGGAAACTGAGGCACAGGGGAGTTAAGTCACCTGCTGGAGGTTACACAGCTACTGAAAAGAAGGCTGGGGCTTGAACCCCACCACGTCTAAATTTTAAGACCCAGGCTTCTAAACACAGTGCGTGAGCAGGGTCCTATTGCTAGTGGGTTGTTTCTGTCCTGCTCACCATGGGTTAATGAACAAGATAGAGAAAGAAGCGAGCCAAGGAGCTTCTAGCCCTGGGGTCTAGGGAAACACAGAGGTCAGGAACTCAGCAGCCCTTCCTTAGATTTTTAATTTCAAGCCTCCCAAATGTAGGAGAAACCCGGTGATTGATGTCGCTCTGGCATGGACCCCAGAGACCTCCAGCAAGTGAAGGGGACTGCAGCAGATGCTGCCGTGGCCGTGTGCTGCTTCTGTGGCCCAGCTCCCCTTTTCCTGGGGTGCCCTCCCCTCCCCTATCCTGTTGTTGCTTCTGGAGGAAATGTCAATCACAGGACCCCCAGCCCCATGGCTGGTACATCCACAGGAGCAAGTACTAGGCTGGAACAGGGCCAGTCAGAGCCTTCTGTGGGATGGGTCGGAAAAAGAATGTCTCTCTCAGCCTTAGAGATTGCGAGCCCTGTGGTTGTAGGCTGCGGCTGCTGCAGCCACCTTTCCCACCAGGTGGAAGAGAGGATGGGGCCAATGTGAGAAGAGATAGAGAGCCAGGAGGCCTGGGTGAGGTCGAGAGGATGAACATGTGCGCCTGAGGACACTGGGCTCCTGGATCCAGCCATACCTGCAGCAAGACCACCCTTAGCCATCCCAGTTACAGGACCCAGGGAAAATTCCCTTTGTTGGCTTAAGAAGTTTGAGCTGCAGCTTTCCCAAGGGAGAAAGAAAGAGCTCTCAGGGGGAGAAATGAGAGGGTCTGAGTCCCATCCCTTTTGTCAGGGCTGGACTGCTCACAGCAGATCCAAATAACAGTTGTCAAGCCACGTATAACCCCAAGTCAAGGAAAGGCTTCTCCATCCTTCCCTGGTGCTATCCCTAGACAGTTAATGTGCGGGGAGTGACAGGGTAGCCTACCTGAAAATGCTTCTAGGGTGCACCTGGGTTTTAGAGGCAAGCTAGGAATTCATCAGACAGGTGAAAATCACAGATTCCTCAGTGATAAATGCCTGGTGGCATGGGAGCAATTAGCTTTGAGAATGTCTCCAATCTCCCCCTGCCTCTTTCCCTCACGTGCACATGCACCTGGATGCAGGATGCAGTTCTGGGAGTTGTTCCTATACCTGAGGAGCGAACGGAGGTGGGTGAGACCCCCTCCCTGCAGGGAGGAGGGTGTCTCAGTCCTTGCTCTTTGCCCTGTCACGCTGAGACTGCATGGAGGCATGGACCCCATGGTTGTAAGCCCACCCCCTAGGCCAGGTGTTGCCCACAGATGATCCCCAGCTGTAAGCAAGGCTCCATGAGAAGAGTAACACGGAGTCAGTCAGCCCCAGATTGGCCACCCAGCTGCTGAGGGAGCCATGCCAGTGTGGTCCCTCCTAGGCTGATAATGTGAATGAGTGTTGGGGACCAGGTTGATAGAGGGTGAGGACTGGGGTGGCCCCCACCCAGGGGACACAGTTGTTTTGCTTTACATGGCAGCAGTGGCCCCATTTTGCCAACACTACCAAATACCTAAGGGAAGCTGGACACCCTGATTTCTGTGTGAAATGCTACAACTTTCCAGTCTCTCTTTAGGCAAAAACAAAAGCCCTCTCTGACTACAGTCTGCTGACTGGTAACCTCTGGCTCGTTACCTTTTTTTGGAGCCCAGGAAAAGAAAGGAGAAGTGTCCTCAAGCCCCAAGGATACCCAAAACTCTCCCATACATGAACTCAGGGAAAGTCTATCAAGAGCTGCTGGTGCCAGGGGTCAGACTTGCCCTAGGGCAGACACAACAAAGTCACAATGTCCTCCTCCCCATAGGGGACTCTGATGCAATGTTGAGATCCTGGATCCAGCCTTACCTGAAGCAAGAGATTCTGGTCTGGCCAGTTACGTGTGCTCATGACTGGTTACCCTTTTGTGGGGCTCGCTGTGACTTACAACCAAAAAAGTCATAATTAAACTGCTTCAAGGAAAGAAAAGGGCCTCCAGGAGAGTTTAATGGCAGCCAGAGCCGCTTCATCACTGCCTGGGCCTCTCCACCGTCCTCAGTTCAGCGGTGCTCAGGTTTCCTTCCTAGCCAAGCTCCGGGAAAATGGATTTCAGATCCAGGGTGAGCTGCTCCCCACAGAAAGTGGAGCCTGTAACTCATATAACTGCTCACCATGCATGTCTTGGGACACAGGGCATCGCTATGGAATCAGAGGTGAAAGCCGATCATTTCTGCCTACCCAGAATTCTTTCCCTGTTCTCGTCGGGTACCCTAGTGTTCCTAGAGGCAACCCCCTTGTGATTTTCAAGCCAGGTGGTCTGGCTTCAGGAGCAGGCATGTAGTCCAGGCAGGCCAATCACTGAAACCCCATCCCTGTATCATGATTGGTCCAGATGGGACACAGGACCCTGCTGACCAGTCTGTGTTCTCTGTTCCCCTTGCAACTGTGACTGGTTCAGGGACCAGTGTGGGGCCCAGGCGGGCCGATTTGACTCAATTCTGGGAGGTTGGATGGAACTTTGGGGGAGAGAGGTTCTCTTCCACAACTGAGCTGGGGGAAGGGAGGGAGCCTAATGGTGATGGGGCCCTCCGAGTGGGGAGGGCACCTGAGGAGGAGGCTGCCCCAGGGAAAGCAGAGCCAGAGGTGGAAGGAGGTGCTGAGCTTGATGACATCCCTGAGCTCCCAGACCAGGCAGACCCAAAGCTGGCTGACCCACTCCTTGGCTTTTTCTTACATAAAGCTCAAAGGAGATGGTTCTGTCCTTGCATCCTGAAGAGGGCATGAGCTGGATCACTGCCTCTGGCTCCAGATGCCCCAACTTAGTGTCCAGACCCAGGGCTGCAGCCCACATGGTCCCAGACCTCACGGGCACTTGAAATGTGGGAGGCGAGCGGGCTGCTCCACAGGGCTCAGTCCTAGCTATCTGGAGACCAGGGAGCTGCTGTGGGATTGGCCAGAAGAGGAGGAGGTGGTGGCGCTGAGCTGGGAGAAGCCGCTGGTACAGGATTCCAGGCTGGACATGGAGCCCCTGGGGAGGAAGGGCGTTGTATGCACATTACCTTCTGGCGTGACACAGCCCTGGGGCTCACACACAGCAGTGGAAAAGCTGGTGATGCTGCAAATGAGGCCCCAGGGCTCTTTCTACAAGGCTGGTAACCACCCCAGGCACAGAGGGCAAGTGTAGAGCAAAATGCAAGTGGAGTTATGGTGAGAAACGAGGCTCCACCCATTTTCCTGTCTGCCCTCCCCCACCCCCCCCCACCCCCCCCACAGAGCCCAGCCTACCAGTACCATCCAGGGGCTTCTCTGACCTGGGGATCTAGCATAGCCCGGGCAGTTCCTGACCCTATCTCTAGCCTCACCCCACCCCACCTCTGCAGCCTCCTTTCAGCTTCTCTGACACTCGCCTCCCATGTCAGGGAAACTGTGCAGGTGTCCACCTGCTGCCAGAAGCACTTTCTCTCCCGCCTGCTTCGTTTAGCTCACTCCTACTCCAGACTTCAGAGCAGCGCTCTCCAGGAGAACCTGTGAGATGATGCCGTGCTGTCCAGTGCAGCAGCCGTCAGCCACACGGGGCCCCCAGGCACTCAGAATGTGGCTCGTGTGGCTGAGGAACTGATTTTTTAATTTTATTGAGCTGTAATGGCTAAGTTTACATTGCTAACCTGTGGCTAGTAGCTCCCGATTTGGCCAGTGCAGACTTAGGGTCTGGCTACTCCGAGTGTGGTGTAGGGACCAGCACCACCAGCCCCTCCTGGAGCGTTAGAGCTGCAGACTCCCAGCCACCCCAGAGCTGCAGAATCTGCATTTTGACAAGCCCCTTGCCACGCCCTCCCCCCCCCGCCCCCCGATGTGTGTGCATGCCACCTAGGTCTCAACTCCAATGTAACTTCGCAGGTACCTCCCCCACATCCCCTGCCCACCTCATGCCAGGGCCCTAGTCTGGTGCTGACAATACCCTGTATTGAGGCTTCTGGCACCCCCTAGCTGTGTGACCTTGGACAAGGACCCCAGGCTGGAATGCCTTCATGGCACCCACTGCTGCTTATAATTACACACAGGTGTGATCGTGTGGTCTCCTGCTCTGTCTGTCTGGTCCCTCGGGGCCTGGCCCAACGCCTGCCTCTGAGGACACCCAGGAACTAGCCCTTGAACTGGTTTTCTTGTGAGGCTGTTGAAGCAGGACAGCAAGGCTACCCCACACTGATGAGACCAGACAGGCTGGCCCAGGCTGCCCCCTCTAGGCCTCCACCTGCCATCCAGGAGGCCAGCAGCCCCCAAGGCTGGAGTTTACATGTCTCTCCCCTGCATTGCTGCCCAGCAGCCAAAACAGGCCATTTCCCAAGGAGGAAATCACCAGCCCTCCCAGGCTGTGGGGGTCTCTTTGGAGTAAAGACGCTGGCTCAGTGTTTCCCGCGCGGGGCTGCATGTGCCCCTAGAATACTTGGAGTGCCACCTAGGACGTGACACCCTCCTGGAGCCTCAATTTGACTCCGTGGTAAAGAATATCAAGCATTATTGGTAGAAGGACACTAAGATAGACAAGTCATGAAGCAAGATGCAAGATCACATTTGTTTTTAAAAGATAAAATGTAAGGCCTTAAACTCTCCATCTCCTGACCCTGTTTCATTTTTGCTACCAAGTGCTTACTGTATGCCTCAGTGAAGGGTCGGCTTCCCCCCACTCTTTCAGCTTTATGACAACCCCATGACATAGGATTTCAACCGTCCCCATTTAACAGATGGGGAGCCTGAGGCTCAGACAGCTTCAGTGAGTTTGCCTGAGGTCACAGAGCAACCAGGAAGTGCTGGAGGCCTTAACCACTACACTTCCCTGACTCTCTGAAAGCAACACTTGGAGAGAGGTGTCTGTGAACACTCTAGAACAGTCTAAACCCTGTTTTATGGATTTCTAGGAGTCTGGGGACGTCCAAATATGAGGGTCTTGGGCTTCCCTTCCCCCACCAATCAATCTGGTATGTTGGACTTCTGTCCAGGGTTTCATTTAAAGGGGAGATCCTGCAGCTGAGGCAGAGTTTGGACATTGTGTTCAGTCTGGTTGCTCACACAGGTGCTGAAACACAGGAGAATTTTAACAATGCCAGTGCTGGGGCCCTGCCCCTGGACAAGCTCAAAGGTAAGTGGAGGTGAATCTAGTGGCCCCAGCCCAGAAGGAAGGGGCCTCATGAGTGCTGGGCGCCTGGCCTAGAGGGGAGTCAGGGAGGGCCCTTCCTGCCCAGGCTTCCCTCCCCAGCCCCTCCTACCTGAAGTCCTCAGACGCCAGCACCTCATAGTAGTAGAGGAGTTTGCACTTGGGGCCAGGGCTGTGCAGGGCCGTGAGGACGTCCTCCACGCCTGGGAGGCTGCAGGCCACATTGCCCGGGGGGCTGTGCATTTGCCACTGGAGCAAGTAGGTGCCAGGCCAGCGGGTCACATGGGAGCCCTGAAACACAGCAGCCGCGCCTGAGGCTCTGGTCCTCCTGCGGACGGGAGCCCCTTACTGAACCAATCCACCAGCGGGTCTTCCTCTCAGTCAGGGGCCTCCCGAAGTCATCGTTGACCCCTCTGCTGTTACCCCCATATCCCTGGGCACAGAGAGCCTCCCTCTGAATGTGGCGGGAGTGCAGGCCTGGAGTGGAGGATTATGGTTGCACGGCAACAGGTGCAGTTGAATTAAATGCCTGGACTTTGCTGGGCTTTTGTTCTGCTGAGTGTGGTTTGCAGATGAGATCCAGGCAGGGACTGGGGCAGAGAGCTGGCAGGTTGGTTAGAGTTAGTTGAGGGCCTGAACGGTGAGAATGAGGGCTGGCAGTGCTGGTGCGTGAGGTGCAAGACAGCCTGAGGCTCAGGGAACCTTCGGAGAGATCTGCAGTGCTCCCCAGAGCTTGTGTGTGCAGTATGGCTGAGCGAGAGAGCGAGCGAGGCCAGTGATGTGAGACAAGCACTGGAGAGTGGAGAATGCGGGGGGCTCATGTTCATGTTCCACAGCGCATATGAGTTCTGTTTCCAGACTTAGTGCATCTCTGTTGCATAGTTTCTGAAGCTCACACGTCAGAAACCACTGAGAGAAGGTGAGGGATGCAGAGTCCAGGCCTCACGCCCAGAGGTTCTGAGTTACCCCCCAACCCTGGCATGGGGCCTGGCGACCTGCATCTTTGACAAGAGTCCCAGGGGATTCTGAGGCGGGGGTCCTGGGAGGTCCCCAGAGTCCCAGATCTGCCTGGTTCTGTCTTTCTCCCCGATCATCCCACAGGGTCTCGAAGGCCAAAGGCCAGATGCAGTTCATCTACTTCGGTGCTCCCAGAACCCTGGCACACCGTGGACACTCAGTCCTGAGTGATGAATGAACAAATGAACAAAGGAATTCGTACCTGGATGCTCTCCCCTTCCCGGCAGACAAGGGGGGCCTCCACGCGGCTGTAATCCACACCTAGGACCCAGCCTTTGTCTGTCAGCTGCCCGCCGGCCCTGGCCCCAGGCTCCTGGGGTCCAGGCCTGGGCACCTGCTTGCTGTGGTACAGGCTGAACACCACGTCCCCTCTCAGGATGTCAAAGTCCCAGGTGATGACTGACTCGCCCTCCAGAATCTCCACGGCAACCTGCATGGGGAAGGGCATGGTCTGAGAGTCCGACCTGGAACCCCACCAGGAGTGGGGAGCGGGGATGGGGGGTCAGCTGCAATAGGTGCTGTGGGTGCCCACCTGGGCCTTCATCTGCCCACGGGCCACGCCCTGCACAGCCCAGCACCCCCCTGGGATCAGGCTGGGCAAGACTTGGCTACACCACCCCTTTGCTTACACCCGGCCTGGGCTACCTTACAGGTTTCTCCTGAGAGCTCACCCTAGCACAAGAACCCTTATCTCAGGCTCTGCTTCAGGGGACCCTGACCTAAAACCACACAGCAGCCCAGTGGGCCCCCCCGGCCAGTTCCCAGCACCTCATGGGGGGCCCCTCGGAGCACGCTGGCCGACTGGTAGGTCTCCCTCCACTGCCGCAGCTGGTCCGTGTGCTCCTGCTCCTCTTCTGTAAGGTAGAGGGATTTGGGGACCAGCCCTCCTTCGGGGACATTGCACTGGGGGATAGAGACAAAAGTGGCAGGTCAGGACCCAGCCGGCCTGGCTGACCCACAGGAGGGTACTTTGTGACCCCTGAAACTGCACTTACAACGGTGGCCCCACAGCGAGTAGGGTACAGGGGCTCTCGTGATCTCATTTAATCTCCAAAACCACAATGCAGTAGGAACTCTTATTTTTTCCTGTCACAGAGGAGGAAAATGGAAGCCCAGAGAGGTCAAGCCACTTGCCTGAGATCACACAGCAGAAAGTGGCTGAGCCTGGACACAAACACACATTTATCAGGGCCCCTAGGCTCATATCTCTTATTGCCATGCTGGCCTTACAGGCCCATTTGCTAAACATAAATCATGTATAGGTATCTCAACAGGTGGAGAAAATGGACACGCTTGGCAGAATTCCTAGGAAATGCCTTTTTTTACTCGGAAATCATGTGCGCTTCGAGTTTGGTATTGTTAGTAGAGGGAGAGGGGCCTGCCCTCCCACAGCCAGATGAGATAAGACAGTTGTGACCCAGGGTCACCCCTGCCTGTGTCATCTCAGTCCCAGGGGGAGGCAGTAAAAGGGGTCTGTTGCTGCTTACCCTTGAAGCAGTTGGCCCATCTAAACACTCCATGAGGATGTGGGTTGGGAATAAATCCCTTTGGGTACACAGGCTCCTGGGTCCAGGCCACTGGGATGTTTGAGTCACCTCTCTCAACAGCAGAGGGCGCAAAGTCAGCAGGTAAACTCTGACTGCTGCCTAGCAATGAACTGCATGGGGAATACTGGGGTAAACTTTTGACTGGCCTGGTCTCTGGTCTTCTAGAAACTTCCATCTGATCACTATGATTGAAAACCCAAAGAAAGGCCCCTCCTTTGGACAGGATTCAACTCTCTTTGGGGAAGCTTCTAAAACAAGCCTTGCCCCCCCAAAAAAGAAAGCATGGCCTCTCCAGGTACCAGCACCCACACAGGACAGAGTCCCCCCTCCAGCCTCCATGGACCTCTGCAGCCCTGCCCCAGCAATCCCTGCCCCCCTCCCCGAGGCCACGGCCCAGGGCCTGCAGCCGCACACTCACCACACACTCTCCCCCTAGGAAGTCGGGGATCACTTCTCTATCTAAGTAGTCCACGAGGCCTCCTGGGCCCTGGTAATTGCTGCCACTGTAGATCAGGAACTTCTGCCTCGTGTTCTCATTGATGAAGGGGCTGATCTGAAGTGAGAAAGAGGAGACCAGAGGGAAAGGTGATTTTCGTTTTTTGTGTGTTACTGAGACGTAATTCACATGACAAAGAATTAACCATTTTCTCTCTCTCTTTTTTAAGTTTTTATTTAAGTAATCCCTACACCCAACATGGCTGGGGCTCAAACTCAGGACGCTGAGATCAGACATCACATGCTCTTCCAACTGAGCCAGCCAGGTACCCCAGAATTAACCATTTTAAAATCAACAATTCAGTGGCTTTTAGTTCATTCACTATGTTGTACAACTACCACTTTCCTGTAATTCCAAGACTTTTCTTCACCCCAAATGGAAACTCCATTCCTTTTTAAAAAATTTTTTTAATGTTTATTAATTTTTGAGAGACAGAGTTCAAGTGTGGGAGAGCAGAGAGAGGGAAACAAAATCTGAAGCAGGCTCCAGGCTCTGAGCTGTCAGCACAGAGCCCGAAGCAGGGCTCGAACTCACGGACTGCAAAATCATGACCTGAGCTAAAGTCGGACGCCCAACCAATTGAGCCACCCAGGCGCCCTGAAACCCAGTTCCTTTTAGACATTAATACACATTAGCAGTCACGCCCCAGCCCTCTCCCTCCAGCTCCTGGCAACCACCAGGCAGCTTTCTGTCTCTATGGATTTGCTTGTTCCGGACATTTCACAGAAATGGAATCATCTGGTATGTGGCCTTCTGTGACTGGCTTCTCTCCCTCAGTATGATGTTTTTTCTAGGTTCATCCACGTTGTAGCACAGATCACTATTCCGTTCCTTTTTATGGCTGAATAACATTCTGCTGTATGGATGATCCTTTTTTGTTTACCACACGTGGAAAATATTTCAACACCCAACTCTAAGCTGCATGTGGATCCATTTTCTTTTTCAGCGCAGTCCATCCCCCCACCCCCACCCATGATGATGGTGTGGTGTCTGCGGAAGGAAGGAAGGACTCAGCATTGGCAGGGCACAAGCCAATTCAGCGAGGAGTACCACAGGAACTGGGGAGCCCACCTGGGTGGTCGCCCTCCTTCAGCCTCCACCCCGGGAAGCAGTCACCTGCCAGCCTCGCAACCCGGTTCCATGCCATTGGCTTCCATCCGGTGTGGCCACTGGGTGGGGGGGAGATGGCAGCAGCCAGAGATGGGAGGTAGGAACAAAGAGAGAGGCCAGGGTGCTTCTTCGCCCACTCCACCCGCCTCAGTGCCCCTGGACACACCCACCCCCTACCCCATTCCAGCTCGAGGCTCAGGCTCCCTAGGTAACAAAGCCATCCCCTCCCTTTGTGCCTCCGGCCCCCGGTGGTCAGGGGTCACTGCACGGTCTAGCCCCTGGGGCTTTTCCCTCCTGCCCATATCTCTGCAAGGAGTTCTTTCATGCTATATCCCCATTAATCCACTAGAGTGAATCCCACTTCTGGCCAGAACCCTGGGTGACTGGCTCCCACCCCTACCCAATACACGTCTTAGAAGTCTCCAAACAGTAAGAATTTCATTTTCACAAAGTTCAGGATATTTCAAGATAAAAAGCTTCAGTAGCAGGCCCTGCCTGTCCCTCCTACAGCTCTGCTCCTCAGCCCAGCCCCACCAGAGCCCTGAAGTAGCCACAGGAGCCAAAGAACATTCTGCCCCAGAAATCTGCTCACATCCTCTCCTGCTGACAACCCTCCGTGGCTCCCTACTGCCCCAGGATGAAGACCCACCTTCGCCACAGCCTGGACTCGGCAGCCACTGGTCCCTGAGCATTTTCCTGGCTTCTGCCAGGGCCACTGGCCTTTCTGCTACTTTGTGTTCCAGTCACCCGACACTGGTTTCTCAGTTTCTCAAAAGCGTCACATACAGTCATCCAGGCTTTTGCCCTTCCTGTGTGGGTTGCCTGCCCCACCTGTCTCCCCCACCCTTCCCTGCATGACTCCTGCTTCTTCCTTGGGGCTCAGCCACTTGTTACCTCTGAGGGACCTTCCTCAGTTCCTCAATCTAAATCACCCACACTGCACTACCCCTGCCTGACTCGGCCTCTCCAAGAACACTGAACGTCCCCATGCCCTTGTCACAGGGAACTATGAGACGTTTCCTTGTGTGACATTATCTGCTTTATCTCTCCCCGTCCTGTCACAGTTGGGGAGAGATACAGTGGATGTCTTGTTTACCCCAAATTCCAGGGCCTGGAAAGGTGTCTGGCACATAGTAGGTGCTTAGTGAAACACTACATCCACGTAACTCCCAAATCTCTACCCTGATTGAACCTCAACTCATAACAGCTCTTTCCAGGCTTTCTTGGGCACTGAATCCTCGGGGCACTGGGTAAGATGCTCAGGGTCTGCAGGACGGGGGGGTGGGGGGGACTGGCACTCTGCACTGGCCTGTGGACCACCAGTGGTTTTCAACTGTCAGTGACAACCTGCTAATGGGTGTGAGGTCAATTTAGCACATTGTGGCTAGACTATTGTTTTTATCTTTTTTAATTTATTTTTTTTTTAAGAGAGCGAGAGCATGTGTGTGCAAGCAGGAGATAGGGGCAGAGTGGAGGAGGGAGGGAGAGAGAGAAAGAGAGAGAGAGAGAGAGAGAGAGAGAGAGAGAGAATCTTAGGCAGGCTCAACACTCCATGCAGAGCCCAGTCCTGGGATCATGACCTGAGCTGCAATGAAAAGTTGGAGACTCAACCAACTGAGCCACCCAAGCGCCCCCGTGACTAGCTTATTTTTCATGGAATGGAATAAAAGAGCAAAGAGAGGGGCAGCTGGGCAGCTCAGCTGGTTAAGCATCCAACTTAAGTTCAGTTCATGATCTTGCGGTTCATGAGTTCGAGCCCCACGTCAGGCTCCGTGCTGACAGCTCAGAGCCTGGAGCTGCTTCGGATTCTGTGTCTCCCTCTCTCTCTCTGCTGCCCACCCCTGCCTCGTGCTCTGTCTCTCTCTCAAAAATAAAACATTGAAAAAATAGCAAAGAGGATGTTGCACATCGTTAAGGTGAACTTCTCTTGCAGACCTGTTCCAGGTGCGTGTGTGAGTTGGGTTGTAACCTAACATGTATTTCTTACTGTGGGTCTTGAGCTAAAAGTTTTAAAGCCCCTGCAGCAGAGGATCCCAACCCCCCTCAGAGCCAGGTCACGGGAGCCCCGGGAACACTATACAGTTCTGAATGTGACTCCAGCGTCTACAAAGCAGGACAACAGATACATAAATCCTGGTGTGTCCACACAGTGGACTAGTACTAGGCCATGAAAAGGCATGAAGTTCTGATATGTTACACCCTGGATGAATCTGAAATCATTATGCCTAGGGAGAGAAATCAGATGCAAAACGCCTTGTGTGATTTCACTTCTGTGACATACTTAGAACAGGCAAATCCATAGAGACACAAAGCTGACTGACGGCTGCTGGGAGCTGGGGCGCGGGGGCGCGGGAGCTGCTGGGGACACGGGGGGCGCTGGGGGCACTGTGGGCGCTGGGGGCGCAGGGGGGCCATGGGGATGCGGGGGTGCTGGGGACACCGGGGACATGGGGGCACGGGGCTGCGGGGGGCACAGGGGGCATGGGGGCACTGGGGGCATGGGGGCGTGGGGGGCACAGGGGACATGGGGGCACGGGGGCACGGGGGCGCGGGGGCACTGGGGGCGCAGGGAGAGGAAGGAATGCTGATGGACACAGGGTTTCCTTTGGGGGTGCTGATAATGTTCTGGAACTAAAAGGTGGGATGGTTGCACAGCTCTGGGAATATACGAAAAACCACTGGAAAGAGTGAACTTGGAAAGAGTGAACCTTAGAGTAAATGAGTTGCATCTCAGTAAAGCTGTTAGTTAGAAGAAATGACACAGAACAAACAGGCAGAGGGAACCCCCTTCCCATCTGGGCCTGGACGGGGGAGGGGTCTGGCCGGGCCGCCTGCTCTCACCAGCGTCCAGAGCACGGGGAAGACGCGGGGGGCTCGCACGATGAGCAGCCGGCCCAGGGTCTCAGGGTAGTTGTCCTCGACCACCTCAATCATCCGCAGCAGGGCCTTCACCCCCGGCCGCCAAAGGTGCCGCATGTTGAGACCCTCCAGGTCCACCAGGCAGGTCCAGGAGCTGTAGCAGATGGTCCCCTCACTGCAGCCTCTCTGCACATCCCAGGCACCCCCCCACCCCACACAGCCTGGGGGCAGGGCTGGGGGGCTGGCAGACAGGACACAGAAGGCTCAGGAAGCCAGGGCTAGGAGTAGAGGGGTAGGGCCACAGGACACACTTGTGGATCCTACCCCCGCCCCAGCCCTAGGCTGGGAAGGCCATGTGGTGAGGAGGGTCAGTGCACGGCCTCTGAGGCTAGCACCTGAATTCAAGTGTCACTTCCATCCCCTGAGAGCCGTGTGACACGGGCAGCCTCCTCATCAGGACAGTGGCAGTGACAGTAACAGTCCCCATCTCAAGCAATTGTTACGATTAAATGAGATAATGTACGTGAAGCTCTCTGCAAGGACCGGCCATAGCACGCGCTCGATCAAAGCGAGCATTGGTACCAATTGTTGAAAAGGCGCTGACTGCTAAGTAGTGCGAACGCGAAGAGCACTCACTCCAGAGCCAGACAGCCTGGACTCAAATCCCAGCACTGCCGCCTGCAACTTGGCCAAGTTACTTAACCTCTCTGTGCTTCCATTTCATCAGAACTAATTCATTAGGAAAATGACTGTTCTACTGCAGTGGCCCAGGAGCCCCTCCATACTGACGTTCCTTTCATCCACGCCGCCGCAAGCCGTCCCTGGTGAATTCCACTTCAGATCAGGACCCTGATGTTAATGATCAATTTTCCACCCCAGCCAAAGTACATCCCCTTAGGAAAGGCTCCAAAGGGCAAGGGAACTTGATTTCACAAAGATCAGGCCATTTCGGGGTAAAAAGTTGCAGCGGCAGGTCCCCCCGGCCCCTCCCTCCCAGACGTGAATCAGGTACGATTTCCCAGTTCACCTGATGCAGAGCAAGCATTACACACACATTGTGTTATCTCCATGGACGTGGCTTCTGATAATCCACGAAGATACCTTGGGACTCGCGATGTTATTCGCACATCACAGATGAGCAAGCTATAGCTCAGAAAGGTTTATGCCACTGTAAGTACTCATGTGGGAAACTGAGGAGTCTGGGGAAGTCGGACGAGGATTACTGGATGTGCCATGACACCTGTGAGTCCACCTGCCCGGGAGGCAGAGTCAAAGTGTCACCTGGGGTGGCAGAGCCGGCCTCAAAAGGCCCCCGGGGTAATGTCCTTGAGCCCGAGGCAGACAGGAACTTACCCACTTAGCAACAGCCTTGGATGAGCACCACCACTCTGAACCTCAGTGTCCCTCTCCATAAAGAACAGGGACAATAGCAGGTCCTGTCTCACAGGACCACTGAACAGATTAAGTGAGGACATTCCTATAAAGGGCAGAGCACGCCACCTGGCCCAGGGTCTGTGCCCAGTGAACTTGGCTGTTTTTACTCTTTCGGGGGAATCCTGGCTGGGGTTCTTACCTGATGGGATGGCCAAACTGCTTTGTGTTCCCTTCGCATCTCTTCTGTCCTTCCTCGTTGACGGAAAGAACCTGGAAAGTAGAGATTGTACTGGCAAACATTCACTTGGCTCCCCCTCCCCTACAGGCAGCCCTGGGGTCCGGGGAGAGGGGACCCCTACTCACGTGCTTCAGCAGCGCCTCCTCCCCCACAGCCTTCATCAAACCCTTGGTGTCCATGTGGCCCAGGCGCAGGATATAGAGAGGGCGGCCGTCTTTGTAGGGAGGCCCAGTAAACAGAAGGGACGTTATTTCAGGGGTGCTGGTGGGAGGGGAGGCCCAAACTTCTCTTGGGAGAAGGCAGTGCCAGGCTGTGGCTCAGCCTGCCCCCTCCCGTCCATTTATTTGCAAATGCTCTGCCTGCTCCCAAGAGGGGTTGACACCAGTTATGGTGATAGAAGCAAAGTGTCCAGGTGTCAAAGAGACAGACTGACATCATGAGGAAATTGGGTGAGGGGCTTGAGGGAACTCTGTATGACCTTGGAAACATTTCTGAAAACCTGCCCTAAAATTAAATGTTTACCTTAAAGCCTTTTATTTTTTTTAATTATTCTTAATGTTCATTTATTTATTTTGAGAGAGCGCCCAAGTGAGGAAGGGGCAGAGAGAGAGAGAATCCCCAAAAGGCTCATACTGTCAGCACAGAGCCCAACGCTGGGCTTGATCCCAAAAATCATGAGATCATGACCTGAGCTGAAATCAAGAGTCAGACACTTGGGGCATCTAGATGGCTCAGTCAGTTAAGCAACTGACTCTTGATCTTTATGTTTATCTTGTCGGGCTTTATGTTGACAGTGTGGAGCCTGGTTGAGATTCTCTCTCTCTCTCCCTCTCTCTCTGCTCCTCCCTCCCTTGAGCTCACTCTCTCTCTCTCTCTCAAAATGAATAAATGAACATTAAAAAATCAGACACTGGACCAACTGAGCCACCCAGGCACCCCTAAAGCTTTTTAAAAAAATATATATGAACCATGTTATGAAGGAATATGGAGAGAGTGGATAACATTGGTTCCCTTCGCCTTCTATCAGTCAAAGCAAATAGGAAAAATAAGAAATTATATACGATACAATCCACTCTTGTTATTCATGGTTGTGATGTTTTCTAAAGTCACCTTGAACGCTGAATCCAGAAACGCTGAAGCATCACTTCCAGGAAAAATATGGGGTAAGGTCCTTGCAAGCCTCTAGACAGAACATTTTTGTCAACTGATCAATACATAACTTTATTCTCTGTGTGTTACTTTTAAGGACACCTTATTGAGTATATACTGTTGATTCATTAACATTGAACTCATGGCCAGCAGCACCACACTAAGCCTGAAGGAAGCTTATCTAACATTTTCTCCATGAGTCACAGCCTTCTTGTGCCTCGGAATACTAGCCAGCACTCCTGCATTATGCCTGGGGGCCATTTTAAGCAGCAAAATCATCCAAAAAAATGCAAAAAAAAAAAAAAAAGTAGCACTAAGTAGATTTTAAAAAGGGCTCTTGTTAACAGTATAAGAACTGAAAGAAAAATGTTAGAAGGACATCTTGGTCAACCTCAGTAGGGGACACAGAGCAGATGACTCCTACTTTCAGCCACTCCGCACATGATCGTAATTGACCGCAAAAGCACGGTGAGTACTGACTTGAGGGTTACAAATAAATTGTGGTAAGCAGGCAAATTCTCAAATAAGGAATCCATGAATAATGAGAATTGACCGTATATTAAAATAAAGTGTTCGAACCAGTCCTTCAGGAGAGTAACCCACTCACCCTAATCAATATATATAAATCTTTACATAAAGGGCATTGAAGAGCATTCTAGGCACTGGCATCAAGGGCAGTTTAATAAAAAACCGAGAGGGAAGTTATTTGTAGCAGGTTGAATAGTGTCCCCCAAACATTCACGTCCACCCAGAACCTTTGAATGTGATCTTATTTGGAAACAGTCTGCAGGTCAAATTAGTTAAGGACCTGGAGATGAAATCCTACTGGACCAGAGTGGGCCCTAAATTCAGTGACCTGGGATCTTTATAAGAAGAGGAGAGGACACAGAGACATCCAGAAAAAAGCCACATGAGACAGGCAGACGCCTGGGGTCACCAAGTGCTGGACGAGATTCACCGCAGGGAGCACAGCCCTGCCCACCTTGATTTGGGGTTTCTGCCTTCAGAACTGTGGGAAGATAGGTCTCTCTTGCCTTAAGGCACCCAGTTTGCAGTAATTTGCTATGGCATACCCGGGGCACTAACGCATGCCCGTGCAGCCATTATGTGTGGGGGTCCCCACCATCAAAAGTTAGGGTGGGCTAACGCTGCCTCTGCATGGAGAAATGTTGCCTCGAGCCCAAATGTCTATTCCAGCCCTACGCTCCTCATGGCTGGGTGAGCCCCAAGGGCATCTCCAGACGCCAGAAGACTCCAAAGAAAAAATAATAAGATGCCAACGTGAAAGTGGCCCTCTGTGCATTAGGTAGGTAAAGGGACGCACCTATGTCCTGGTAATGCCAGCCCCCCGCGTAGAATTCCTCCAGGAGAGCAGGGGGCCGCCAGGTCTGAAGGAGGAGATCCACCTGGTGCTGCTTCCGCCAGCTCAGGGACTGGCGCAGCATCTCCCGGGCCTTGTCCAGGTGGAAGTCACGGGCCCGAAGGAACCGGAGGATGTGCTCATCTTTCGGAATCTGACAGAAGAAGGATAGAGCCTGTAGAAAGGAATTCCCTAACCCAGTAGAGAAGATTGCAGAAAATGAGTTCTCCCGTCTTCTCTGCAAAATACGTAGCTGGGAAAAGGACCACACACTCCACCACAAACGACACAGTCAAGGGGTGGACTGTAGTGAAAACCTGTGAGCTTGGGCTGCCGGACGTTTCTTCCTCCTCAGGCATCATTTGCTTTTGGGGAGCTGCGTGTCCTTCCTGCACCCCAGCACCAACGCTGGTTTTGGCTGGTGTTGCCGATCAGCACTCCATTCCCCTGGCCTCAGGGATGGCACGATCCAATCAGAGCATTTAGACTATTTAAATCAGAAGAACAGGACACGAGCCCTTTCTCTGCTGGTAAAGGTGAGCCTGCAGATTATGGGGAGCCCCAGCTCCAAGCTCAACAAGGAAATAAGTCTGACGGGGATGAAGCAGAAGTAAACAGATACAAGAGCTCAGGGGCTCTGACCACATGGGAGTCCTGATTCAGGACATCTCTGACACAGGCTGCATGGCCCCCTGGGCTGAACGATGTCCCTTCCAAATTCGCGTCTACCCAGAACCTCAGAATGGGACCTTATTTGGAAATGAGTCTCTACGGATATAATTAGATAAAGTGAGGTCATACTGGAGTAGGTGGGCCCTACTCTGTTTGGACACAGACACCGGACACGTGGAGGGAAGAAGGCCACGTGAGGGTGAAGGCAGACACTGGAATGACGTATCCACAAGCCAAGGACTGTGGCAGCCACCAGAAGCCAGGAGGGGGGAGGCGTGGCACAGATTGTCTCTCAGACCCTCCAGAAGGCTGGAGAGAACGCAGGCTCCAGAACCCTGCCCATGCCTTCATTTGAGACTTCTGGCCTCCAGAAATGTGAGGATAAGTTTCTGTTGTTTGTAGCATTTTCTTTCAGCAGTCCGAAGAAGTTAATACATCCCTCTCAATGGTTTGTTATAGGAGCCAATACATAGCCTCCCCTCTTTTTTTTTTTTTTTTTTTTTGCCTCTACTCAAACTGCAGTCCTCTCGCATATAACCCAGAGTCGAATTCGTAGGCCGAGTGACAAGCTAAGAGCCTGCCAGCTCTTCCTCCTTCCCTCGGGCAAATATTGACAGGCAAGGGGAAATCCAGCCCCAATAAAGTATCCCCTGCCCTGAGTGCTCATCCCATCCAGACACGACTCTAGGCATTTTATGTGGATCGTCCCTTGTTAATTCAGTCTAGGCGGTGTATGCTAGCATCATCCTCCTTTTACAGAGGAGAAAACAGGGGCAAACAGGTTCAATCACAGCCCAACATGAAAGCAACTTCCTTGTTGGCACCCCCCACCCCCACACACACACCCAGCATGGGGAGGGGAGAGGGAGGAAGGGCAAGCTCGAATTTCTTACTCAACAGAGCTGAAGGTCAAGTCCATGTTGGGACCTACATGCATGATGGACATTCATGTTATGGGGCTTAGAGGCTGGAGACATTTTTGGTTGTCACGACTGGGAGAGAGGAGCCCCTGGCGTCCAGTGGTGGAGGCCGGGGTGCTGCAACACCCAACAGGGCACACCCCACCCCATAAAGGCCTCCAGTGTCAAGAGTGCAAAGGATGAGCAACCCTGCAATCAGTGGTGTGCACGACATGCATTATAGATACAGGAGACAATCCATGATAGAAAGAAGGCAGAATACAGGTTTTCAGTGTTGCTGATGACATCAGCTTGTTGACCTGGGCCTCCTCCCCGAGTGCCTGGGATGAGTGGCTGGCATTGAACCTGCTCTGGAAGGCCCCAGCTCTGCACCCACCTTGCCTTTGTGGGTATCCTGCAGCCAGTGTCGAAGCTGGATGAGGCAGCTCTCCTGCATGGGCGTGAGATGGCCCAGGCACTGTTCGATGTAGTCTGCATCTAGTTTGTCCCCTGCAGGAGAATGGGGAGGCGTTCAGGACCAGAGGGTGATGCCACCCTCTTCACCACGTGGTCTGCCCTTTCTGGAAACCTCGACTTATTGGTCACCTCAGATCTGAAATGCAGTTCCAAGCCATACAGTGGCCCTTTCACCCAAGAACAGCCATGTGGGTTCCACATCCTCTGGTCTTCAACCCATTTCCAAGGTGTTTCTGAAAACTCATGGTGGGACCAGCCTGGATCTCGCTGTGGCAAGTGATTTGTCTCCACTGACCCTCGGAAATCAAGGTAATTCCCACTCCCTGGAGCTGTCCCATCTCTGAAGATGAGTAACGACACGCGCTTATGTTTCTAGACATGCATCATCTCAGTGAGCTGTCCCAACAGCCCTGTGAGGCAGGCACACTACTGTCCCCATTTCACAGAAGACAGGGGCACCTGGCTGGCTCAATCAGTTGAGCCTCTGAATTTGGCTCAGGTCAGGATCTCACAGCTTGTGGGTTCCAGCCCTGAGTCGGGCTCTGTGCTAATAGCTTGGAGCCTGGAGCTGCTTCTGATTCTGTGTCTCCCTCTCTCTCTCTGCCCCTCCTCCACTCGCACTCTGTCTCTCAAAAATAAAAAAACATTAAAAAAAAAATTTTTTTTTAAACTGAGGCCAAGGGAGGTTAAGTAGCAAATAAATGCGTGTGGTGCACTGAGCATAAAAGAGATGGTCAGGGGCACCTGGGTGGCTCAGTCGGTTAAGCATCCAACTTCGGCTCAGGTCATGATCTCACGGTTCGTGGGTTTGAGCCCCGTGTCAGGCTCTGTGCTGAGAGCCAGCTCAGAGCCTGGAGCCTGCTTCAGATTCTGTGTCTCCCTCTCTCTCTGACCCTCCCCTGCACATGCTCTCTCTCCCTCTCAGAAATAAATAAAAAACATTAAAAAGAGAGAGAGAGAGAGAGATGGTCATTATTACAGTTCCTTTTGCGTTCCCACCTCCCAGGCCCCTTGTAGGTTCGAGGCTTTTTGTAGACAGAGCCATGACCCCAAAATTCAGCCCGGGACCTGAACAGATCATTCCCACTGTTCAGTCCTGTCTTGCACAATGGGGCTGTTTGGGGGTCAGCATGTGCGGGCACTTAGAGCCTAGGTTCCAACCTGAGGTCCCATTTCCCACTCTTTAAAATTTTTTTTCAACATTTATTTATTTTTCAGAGAAGAGACAGAGTGTAAGTGGGGAAGGGGCAGAGAGAGAGAGGGAGACACAGAATCTGAAGCAGGCTCCAGGCTCTGAGCGGTCAGCACAGAGCCTGACATGGGGCTTCAGCTCACAAACCGTGAGATCATGACTGAGTCTAGGTCAGACACTTAACTGACTGAGCCAGCCAGGCGCCCCACCCATTGCCCACTCTTAACTGTTGAGGTGGCAGGGGCTGGCATGGTGAGACACATGGACATGTTAATATCTCAGCAGGGGGTAGACGCGTCACCAAGAGCAGCCCCCACAGTGTAGCCCGTTCTTTGTGTTCAGGTGGCAGAATAAGAAAACAAATGAAATGAGTGTACGTCCAGCAGCAGGATCCAATGGTTCCCTCTAAAGCAAAAAAAGCCCAAGTCTGGGGGCGCCTGGGTGGCTTAGTTGGTTAAGCGTCCAACTTTCGCTTAGGTCATGATCCCGCAGTTCGTGGGTTCGAGCCCCACGTCGGGCTCTGTGCTAACTGCCAGCTCAGAGCCTGGAGCCTGTTTCAGTCTGTGACTCCCTCTCTCTCTGACCCTCCCCTGATCACGCTGTCTCTCTCTCTGCCTCTCTCCTAGAAATAAATAAAAAACATTTAAAAAAAAAAAAAAAAAAAGCCCAAGGCTGGAGGTCAGTAGGCATCTGGGTAAACAGAGGAAGGAGAGATGCTGGTGGTGTATGGGGACAGGCAGCATCCAGAACCCCAGATGCCTCACAATGGTCAGAAGTGGACATGCTGGCGACGGGAAGGGGGAGTGGACAGGATGAGAGACAGAACACAAGGGAGACAAGAGATACCAGCATCCTTCCGGCCTCTGTGCAGCTGTGAAGGCCCCTTTCTCAAGAGCACAAAGGCTCAGTGATTCAGAGCAGCGGGGAGGGGCATGACTCTGCCTCTCACTGGCCATCCTAAGCACAGCACAGATGGATAAGGAAGGAAAAGTCTGGTGCAAATGAGGGCAAAGGGCATGACCACCAGACAGTGTCCACAAGAAGAGGCAGAAGTTTTAATTTTTTTTATATTTAAAAAAAATTCTTTTAACATTTATTCACTTTTGAGAGACAGAGAGAGACAGAGCACAAGCAGGAGAGGGGCAGAGAGAGAAGGAGACACAGAATCCAAAGCAGGCTCCAGGCTCTGAGCTTTCAGCACAGAGCCTGACGCAGGGCTCAAACCCAGAAACCGTGAGATCATGACTTGAGCCAAAGTCGGGCGCTTAACTGACTGAGCTACCCGGGTGCCCCTTAAATATTTTAAAAGTTTGCATACAACAGCAGCCAGCTAGCACAGAGTTGGTGCAGAACAAACATTTGTTGAATAAATGAATTTTGTTCTCCCTGAACACTGCCCCAGATGTAAGTTACTTGGCACATCTCCAAGAAAGCCAAGCCCTACACTTCAGTGACCGCAAAAGAAAGACTGAATCATCATGAGCACAAATGCACATGGTTAAAACTGAACTCATGGAGTATGTGTAGTTTTTGTGTCCTAGAGTTTTTTTTTAATTTATTTAAAATTATAATGTGAACATTTCCCATTGTCAACAAAAGTCTATAATATGACAGAGGGCTAATTGCCTTAAATACAAAGAGTTCTTACAAAGCAATAAGCCGATGGGCAGGGGCACCTGAATGGTTCAGTCGGTTAAGCCTCCGACTTTAGCTCAGGTCATGATCTCATAGTTTGTGAGTTCAAGCCCCACATCGGGCTCTCTGCTGACAGCTCGGAGCCTGCTTCAGATTCTGTGTCTCCCTCTCTCTTTGCCTGTCCCATGCTCATGCTCTGTCTCATTTTCTCTCAAAAATAACAAATAAATAAATAAACATTTTTAAAAATTAAAAAAAAAATGAATGGGCAAACAGGAAAACAGACAAAGTACAAGAACAGAGAGACTCACCAAAAAAAGCAATACAGAGTCACTAATCACGAGAAAATAATATTTGGCTTCACTCCTGAGGAAACACCTGATCACTAATTTACTAGTGGTCACTTTTTGCTTTCAGGGGTTCAAAACATTTAATAACAGTCTCATAGGGAAGCCAGAGTGAAATCAGGAACAGACAAAGCTATACACTTTGGGCAGAACATTGACTAGTATAACCAATCTTTGAAGCCCTAATTAGTAAATCTGTCAAAATTTTAGCTGCAGATAACCTTTGACCCAGAAATTCAACTTTAAAAATTTCAGGCCGCCTGGGTGGCTCAGTTGGTTAAGCATCCAACTTCAACTCAGGTCCTGATCTCACAGTCAGTGAGTTCAAGCCCCACGTCAGGTTCTGTGCTGACAGCTCAGAGCCTGGAGCCTGCTTCAGATTCTGGGTCTCCCTCTCTCTCTGCTCCTCCCCGACTTGTGCTCTGTCTCTCAAAAATGAATAAATGTTAAAAAAAAATTTTTTTAATTGTATGCTACAGGGTTGCTTGGCTGGCTCAGTGGGTAGAACATGTGACTCTTCATCTCAGGGTTGTGAGCTGGAGCCCCATATTGGGGGTAGAGATTATTTAAAAATAAAATATTAAAAAAATATAAAAAATAGGGGTGCCTGAGTGGCTCAGCCAGTTAAGCGTCTGACTTCTGCTCAGGTCATGATCTCACATTTCATGAGTTCAAGCTCCACATTGGGCTCTGTACTAACATGCAGAGCCTGCTTGGGATTCTCTGTCTCTCTCTCTCTCTCTCTCTGCCCCTCCACAACCTTAAGTACAAAGATACACTATATTATCTCTATGTTTTGTTTTTTTTTTTATGTTTTATTTATTTCTAGGAGAGAGACAGAGTGAGCAGGGGAGGGTCAGAGAGAGGGAGATATAGACTGAAACAGGCTCCAGGCTCTGAGCTGGCAGTCAGCACAGAGCCCGACACGGGGCCCAAACCCACGAACCGCGAGATCATGACCTAAGCGAAAGTCGGACGCCCAACCGACTAAGCCACCCAGGCGCCCCTACCTCTATGTTTTAAAAACTGGAAACCTAAATGTCCATCAATAGAAGCCTAGATAAGTAAACTAACAAAAATAAGCAATAATAAATGTTTCTTATGTTTATTTATTTATTTTGAGAAAGAAAAAGAGCAAGAGCAAGCAGGAGAGGGGCAGAGAGAGAGAGTGAGAGAGAGAATCTCAAGCAGGCTCTATGCGGTCAGGGCAGAGCCCAACATGGGGCTTGAACCCACAAACTGTGAGATCTTGACCTGAGCCAAACTCATGAGTCAGATGCTGAGCCACCCAGGTGCCACAATAATAAATGTTTATTAATAAATAAGTTACGGTGCAGCCACACCATGAAATACGGCAAAGTGGTAAAACAGATGCACTGATCTAGAAAGCTGTTCAAGCAACATTAATAAGTGAAAAAAAGCAAAACATCAAGTAGCATGTGTACCATTCACTCAGCAGAAGTTATACAGGTATGCATGTGTGTATATACATATATATATGCGCTTAGATAGTTTCAGGAAATGCAAACACAAAACTAGCATTTCCTCCAGGGAGAGGAAAAGAGTCTTACTCCCTCATTTACATCTTCCAAGAAGTTTGAATGTTTCTTTCTACCATCTTCATGCATTACTCATATAATTAAAAATAGCAATAAAATCAGACAAAAGGGCAGCCCTGAGGCAGCAGATCAGGTCAATTCCTGATTTAGAAATAAACCGGTTCTGGCTCTTGAGCCGGAAGGAAGAAAGGGGAAAGCAGCAGGAAAGGGCGGAGGCTGAGTCATTCTGGGTCTAGACCCATTCCCAAGGGGACCAGCAGCAGCTCTTCCCTACAGAGTGAGCAAACACGAAGCAGGCTTCCAGGGACCGGGGCGGTTGTGGGGGGGACAAGGGTGCAGGCCTGGCCAGCTGGCCGCAGCCGCAGGGACCTACCGTCTGTAACCATCATCTCAGGAGCAGGGGCAGGAGGGCCGCTGGGCCCGTCGGCCTCCAGGGAGCCCGGATCCCTCAGCCCAGCCTGGGAGCGGGCGTCTTCCTCTCTGACGGGGGCAGGCGTCCACCGGGGAACGTGAGAGGTGCCTTGGGAGATGAGCTCGTTCAGGTAATGCTCAATCACCTCCTTCCCCTGGAAGCCAGAGAGCCCAGAGGCACATGACAGCAGGGCCGGAGAGCGGGGGTAACCGCATCAGCCTGGGAGTCACCCCCACCTGGCCGCAGTCCCAGCCCTGACGCGTGGCTATGGAGCAGCTGAAATGTGGCCAGTCCAAATGGAGATGTTCTGTGAGTGTCAAGAATGAACCGGATTTCCAAGACTTAGGACAGAATGAAGAATCTAAAATAGCTCATTAATAGGTTTTCTATGGGTAACATGTGGGTTGAAATACATTGTTGAAATGAATTTCCCCTGTTTCATTACATGAAAAGCCTCTGTGCTCAGGAACAGGTCTGAGAGTTTTGCACAGTCACCAGTTTTAACCAGAAAAAAGCACCACAGAATGCCCTTCCTCTGTCCAGAGTTGACTATACAAGCCGCAAACATCGGGGAGCATACGGAGAGTGATTGTGGTGCCCCCATTACAGGCCAGGTGGTTTCTACTCATTCTCTTGTGTGTTATGGTCATTGTTAAGATACCAATTCTATGGATGAGAAGACTGAGACCAAGGAAGGTTAAGGATCGATCCTGCCCATGTCACTAGGGTTATCAGGTGGCAGAGCAGGTTTTGAACCAGGCTCTGAGGCCTGTGTACCTTCCTCCCTGTGGCTGAGGGAGCCCTCTCCTTACCCTCTTGACATTCGCTGTGTACTGCTTCATGGCGATCTTCTCCAAGGCACTTTCGAAGCCAAAGAAGGACCGGATGTCAAGCGAGGCCGACTGCTCAAAGCAAGTCCACTCTTCGTTCTCAGGGTGGACCTGAAAGCCAGGCAGGGGCAATGACAGGTCTCAGTGTGGGGGACCAGGCCCTCCCCTAGGGCTCTCTTGGTGATCTGGGCCCAGCCATGCAGTGGACAACATGGCAACACCGGAGTGGGGGGGCAGCAGTCCCCCCCCCCCCGGAGAACAATGCAAAGTGTTAGAGAACAAAGAGCCTTCTCGTGAGGGGCTGGAAGAAAGTGGATTTGGTATCTTCTAGCCTGTCCCTTAAATCAGTTCTACAATGATATATTTAAATGAGTAATATATTTAGGGGCACCTGAGTAGCTTAGTCAGCTGGGCGACTGGCTCTTGGTTTCGGCTCAGGTCATGATCCGACAGTCTTTGGGTTTGAGCCTCACGTCGGCCCTTCGCTGACCGTGCAGAGCCTGCTTGAGATTCTCTCTCTCCCTCTCTCTGTCCCTCCCCTACTATCTTTCACTCTCTCTCTCCCTCAGTACTTCTCAATCTTTCCTGGGCAGAAGTGTTACCAGGGAGTCTGGCAGGACTATTACCAGGGGGCGCCTGGGTGGTTCAGTCGGTTAAGCTTCTGACTTCTGCCCAGGTCATGATCTCAAGGTTCATGGGTTCGAGCCCCACATTGGGCTCTGTGCTGACAGCTCAGAGCCTGGAGCCTAATTTGGATTCTGTGTCTCCCTCTCTCTGCCCCTTCCCCATATTTTCTCTCTCTTTCTCAAAAAAAAAAAATTAAAAAAAAATTTTTTAAATATGCAGATGCCTGGGTCAAATAGGTCCAGGGCAGGGACTGGAAACCTGCATTCCTCAAGAAGCCTCAGTGAGACTGACTCAACTGTTGGTAGAACTCACTCTGAGAAATACTGCACTAAAAGTTTTTATTTATAAAAAACTGCCACCCACACAACTCCCTAGAGGTAAGCATCAGAACATTCTGGGTCCAGTTTCCAGAGGAGCTGGAGGTGTGGAAAGAAAAAGCAATGGGCATTTACTGGACACCTGCTGTATACGAGGCACCACGCCAAGTGCTGGGGATGGGACAGCGCCCGTTGAACAAGGCAACCCCCCTCCCCCGCGTAGGGGAGACTCTGATGCACCATAGTTGTGACACTGGAGTTATCATTATGAAAACTAGCATTTGGGATCTAGCACAGGCGAAGCTCTATCTACACTGTCTCACAGGCTCCTCGCAGCACCAGATCAGGCCAGTTGGGCTGACAGATATGCAAGGGGTAGCCTAGGGAGGGGCAGCAACTTGCCCAGCATCACTCAGCAAGAAGGTGCCAGGGCTAGGCTCCATCCCAGTAAGCGCCTCCAGAATCCTCCCTCAGTCCAGCCCCCGGGCCGCAGGACCCTGCCTCTGCAGCCTCCATTCTCAGACTTCACGCATCCGCCTCTGGCTCTTCACACATGCTGTTCCTGCCTTAGAACTCTGTTCCCAGCCCTCTCATGCGCCAGCTCTCAGCTTCGTGGCTTCAGAGGGACACTGTTACCTAACAGAGTGCCTCTGCTCTTATTTTCCCAACTGCTGTCTTCTGGATCCCTTCTTAGTATCTGTGACAAAGTTGTAAGAATACGTTGACTTTTTTTCCTTGTCTGTATCTCCCGCTGGAATGGAAGTTCTTATGAGCACAAGAGTCAGGCAGACTAGCCCATGCCCTAGCTGGGTGCCCGACACAGAGTAGGTGTCAGTCAGTGCGCACTGGAGAATAATAACAATTACCATTAATGATACGAAAAAGTAACACACATACAGGGCTTAGTAAGTGCCAGGCCCGCTTCTAAGGGGTTTCGGATACTGTACTTCCTCCACTCCTCACCACAACCCACGTGGGAGCTGTCATCATTAACCCCATTTTACAGATGAAGAAACTATAGGGGCGTCTGGGTGGCTCAGTCTGGTAAACGTTTGACTTTGGCTCAGGTCATGATCTCACAGTTCGCGGGTTCAACCCTGAGTTTGGCTACGTGCTGACAGGTCAGAGCCTGGAGCCTACTTCGGATTCTCTGTATCTTCTCTCTCTCTCTCTGCCCCTCCCCTACTCATGCTCTGTCTCTCTGTCTCTCAAAAATAAACATTTCAAAATTTAAAAAGAAAGAAAGAAACTGTAAATGAGGCTCCCTTTCAAGGAGGAAGGAAAGGAGAGAGAGAAGGGGGGGGCAGGTTGCCAGGTTTCCCCAGTAAAATACAGGATGTCATATTTGAATTTCAGATAAACGACGAATAATGTTTTGGTAAGTATGTCCCAAGCAGTATTTCAGACTACTTAAACTAACAGAAAAGGATCAGCTGTGTATCTGAATTGCAGATGTAAGTGAGTGTCCTGCAAGGTACCCACACGGCCCTGGGGGCGGGGGAGGGCGGGGGAGGGGCACTGATGGCGACTGCAGGACACGGGGGGGGGGGGGGGGACGGAGAGGGAAGGCCCAGGCAGGCTCACGGTATAGCTGCAGCTCTCGTTGACCACCACGCGGTTGGCGAAGGTCTCATTGTGGGCTTCGATGAGGAGGGTCCTCTCCCTCCAGTTCAACACGTTTCTCTGCACAAAGACCACGTGCTCAACGCCGGCAATCTGCAAGGCGGGGGCAGGCTGCTGGACACGGGGACTCCCCAAGACCCCAAGACCCCGTGCTTGCCTACCAGCCCTCCATCCGCAAACCCCAAGACCCCTGGCGCTCCGCCCAGAGCCTGCCCAGCAGCCCCAGAACCTTGTCCCCAGCTCCTAGGCCTTGGTCCTTCCCAGATCCGCCCTCCGACCTGGACCCCAATCCCCAGGGCGGCGCATCAGCACCTGCGCTCACACGCACACTCACTGTCTCCACCGCTTGAACCCGCCCGCAGGTCCCCAGGTCCCCCCATCACCCTATCGAGTCCCCGCTCCGCGCCCGCCCCGCCCCCGCCGCCCCTGTCGCCCCGCCCCCCCACCTTGCGCAGCAGCCGCGGGGCCTCCACGCGCAGCCTGCAGCTCCGCTCCACCACGTGCACCGCCCCGTCCGCGCTGCGGGACTCGCGCAGGACCTCGCTGCCCAGGAAGACGGGGATCTGCGGGCAGGTGGGGAAGCGCTTCTCGTAGGCCTGGGGGCAGAACGGGAGGGAGTGCCAAGGGAGCCGGGGCCTGTCGGGAGAGCTGGCCTCTCCCGCCTGCTGGGCTGCAGACACCTGTTTAGGGCTGGGCCATGATTTGCAACTCACTCTTTGGCTTCGCCTTTGAGATTTCACCCTCAGAAGGAAAAGTGGGCTTGCCTGGGGCATTTTAAAAGACAACTTCTTTGAGAAAAAAAACACATTGGACATAATCTAACACCTCTTCGTGACAAAAAACACTCAAGAAAGAGGGGGATTAGGAGGAACTTAACGTTGGACCATGGGGAAGGAGAAGGGGGAAAATAGTGGGGGAGGGGGAGGGAGGCAAACCATGAGAGACTCTTGAATGCCTAGAACAAACTGAGGGCTGATGGGGGTGGGGGGGAAGGGTGGTGATGGGCATGGAGGAGGGCAGTTGTGGGGACGAGCACTGGGTGTTATATGGAAACCAACATGACAATAAACTATTTAAGAAAAAAACACTCAAGAAAAGAAGAATAGAAAGGAATCTCTTCAACCTGATAAATCAGATAACATCATACTCAATGCTGAAAGATGGAATGCTTTCCCCTAAGATCAGGGACAAGGCAAGGGTGTCCGCTGTGGCCACGTCTGTTCAGCAGTGTCCTGGGCATTCCAGCCCCGGCAGTTAGGAAGGGAAGAGAAATACAAGGCATCCAGTTTGGAGGACGAGAGTCTGCCCGGTGCCAGAAGTGCCAAGGTAGGAGCCATCATGGGGTAAGCCCACATCCGTGGCTGACTGTATCCAAGTGGGGTCTGCTCCAAGCGCCTGTCACAGCCCACGTGCCCGGGAATCAAGATCAAAGCAGCTCCAAAAATAGTGCTGGCATCTGAGGACACGCACCTCCTCCCCCATCCCTGCGGGCTCCTCCCAGCTCAGAAGGACAGAGGCGGGGGAGGGGCGACGAAGAGATGGAACTGTGCCTGGTGCCCTTGGTGTCACCCCAGGCCCCACAAGGCCAGCCCAGTGAGTCTTCCTGCCATATGTTGGAGCTGCTTGCCTAGTACAGACACGGCAGACACACCAGGGTTAGAATAAGGAGCCCTTGTTCCCCAGGGGACCCCAGGGGAGAGTGCTCGGTAGGCAGGCCAGCATTTATCAGAAGACTGCATAGTGAGGTGGGTAAATCCTGTGGTGGTGGCCACAGTTCTACCTCCTCCCAACAGAGGCACATCCTTTCCTTCTGTAAGCCTCTTTTACCATCTGGGAAATGGGTATATCCCAAGCCTGCCTCCCCGAGTATGAAACCCAAGCTTTCCGGGCTCTGCAGAGCCCGGCTCATTGAAGGCAACCAGAATTTTCACTCTCCAGGCAACAAGGCTCAAACGGCAGCAGAACACAGGTCTGTAAGAACTGCTCCCATCCAGCCCTGTATGAGTACTTCCTTGGCATCAGATGCAAGAGGGAGCCAGAGGAGCTGGCCTGGGCCCACCTCCATGACAGGCAGAGGGGTGCTGACATTCTGTGAAAGTATGTGGAGGGAAAGGGGTGCATGTTTCAGAATTGGACAGGCTCAGTTCACGTCTCTTCTACTTTCTCACTAAGTGACCTTGGGCAAGGCACTTGCCCTCTCTGAGCCTCTGTTTCCTCATCTGTAAAAGAGGTGGTCACCAGATGGTGTCTCAGAGCAGTTGGCACTCAGGGAGCCTTGACTACTCCTCCAGCTGTGCATTTTCTTCCATTTAATCCTCTGAATGGCATCCCCATTTGACAAATGAAAACATTGCAACCCAGAGAGGCTAAGTAACTAACCCAAGGTCACACAGTGAAAACTGGTGTATCTGGATTGAATCCCACTGTGGCCCAGTCCCCATTCCTTCAGGAACCTTGCTCAGCAGCAGGCGTGTTCTCCTGGGCAGCTGGGAAACAGCCAGGCATTGTCCCTGGAGCCCTGCGGTCACTATTTCCCCCTTCTCCATACTTAGTACCTCAACTCCTGCTGGCTGGTGGCCACACTGCCCCTGAGTTTCTGCACTTCCTCTGACTATTCTACAGTCTCTCCTGCACCCAGATGAAATGATGTACTCAGAACAGGCCTGGATGCCCAGAACGTGTCCTACACTCGTTGCCGTGGTCACCACGCTCCAGGCATTCTCGCCCACCAGCCACCTTCACTCTGCTCCAGCCACCCCAGACTTGCTGTTTCTTTTTTTTTAATGTTTATTTATTTTTGAGAGAGAGAGAGAGAAAGAGAGAGAAAGCATGAGCAGGGGAGGAGCAGAGAGAGAGAGAGAGAGAGAGACATAGACATACAGAATCCGAAGCAGGCTCCAGACTGAGCTGTCAGCACAGAGCCTAATACGGGGCTTGAACTCATGAACCATGAGATCATGACCTGAGGAGAAGTCAGACCCTTAACCGACTGAGCCACTCAGATGCCCCCAGCCTTGTTCTTTCTAAAACACATTTTTTATGGGTTCACTGGTGCTCCCTCCCTCGCACCAACAAAATTCAGGTGTCCTACCCAGAACCTCTGAATGTGACCTTGTCTGGAAATAGGTCGTTGCAAATGTAATTAGTTAAGATGAGGTCATACTTGAGTGAGGGGAAGACTGCTAATCCAATATGACTGAGGGACATTTGATCACAGACACTCATAGAGGGAGATCACCATGTGAAGATGAAGGCACAGGTTTGGGTGATTCCTCTACAGACCAAGGAACTCCAAAGACTACCAGCGACACCAGAAGCTAAGAGAAAGACATGGAATGGGTTCTCCCTCGAGCCTTCAGAGGAAACCTACTCTACCAACACCTTCATCTCAGGCGTTTAGCCTTCAGACTGTGAAGTAAAAAGTTTCTGCTGTTTAAGCCACCCAGTTTCTGGTACTTTTTAAAGTCAGCCCCAGGACACTAATGCACCCACCACCTGTTCCTGCCACAGAGCCTTTGCACAGGCCATTCCATCTGCTTGGGCCACTATTCAATTTACTTGACAGTGAAGGAGGAGGAAGGGTACTGAGTAACTGGGGCTTGCAGAGGGGTAGGAGATCTGGACGGAGGGCTGAGGAGATGCTGGACTCAGGGACTCATCTGTGCTGGTCCCTCTTCCTGGGACATCTACCCCCACCCTCTCCCCTGCAAGGCTGTCTCTTCCCTATTCTGTCCATTTAGCCCATTCATTTCTTCAATACCGTTTATCACACCCTTTAGCTATATACTAGCTTGCATGTTGTGTGCCGAAGGCCCAGGCTACATGCTTTTCCACAGCACTGACCTCACACATGCCTGTCTCAGTTCTTGGCACACACTAGGGCTAATAAATGCCCACAAGCAAAGAAAAAAATAACTAACTTGTTGGTGATCCAAAAAGCCCTAAGAAAGGTGTCCTGGGAGGGGAATGATGGGCCGTGGATTCAACACATGCATCCAAGTGAGCTCACCAGGCTGACTTCCTGTTGCAACAAATGCTTTGTTAGAAGAGCTCCGTCTGGAGCCCCCAGATAACAGTGAAGGGCAGAGGGCTGGCCAGCAGCAGATGGGTGCTAGGGCACAACTGTCCCTGACCCTGCAAAGGAAGGTGCTACCTTCCTCAAGTAACTAACGGCTGCCCCATCAATGGAGACGTGCCAGGCATTGGGAAGGGGAACGGCCTTCTGTCTCAGGCACCATCTAGAGGGCAGGACCCCAAAAGAAAGAGTCTGTCCGGCTCCAAATCTCCAGCCAGAGAGTCCCTGGGGTTGTGAGGTCCAGTGTCAGACATTGTTGCTATGAGATTTCTAGGGCATTAATTGTGTTTCCTTGCACAGAGCTTCGAGATGGGAACTAGAATTTCCCCATTGTACAGATAAGCAAGTTGAGGCTTCAGAAGGCATCACATAGTCAGTAAGTGGTGGGGTTGGAGTGCAAGCCCATCTGACCCAGACCTCAGCCCTGAACCACCCTGTCCTGCCTCTCAGGGGACTTTAGCTACATCACACGTGTCAATAATCTGGAACTGCTGAGTCCTGCTGGCCTAACACCTGTGAGTCAGGGGCACCTTTGCCTTTGACACATCACAGGGTCTCAGAGGACCAAACAGTCCACAGGATCCTCCCTGGGGGCTCCTGTTCCCACAAATCGGGCCTGAGCTTCTCTGTGCCGAACAAACACATGGTTTGCCTTCCTCGGGGATACAAGGTAGCAGAAGGGATTCAGTTACAGCCCTTTTGCCAGGTGGCTGGAGAGGGACACCCAAGCCTCCTCCCTCAGAAAGGAAGCTGGTCCAAGGCCCAGAACCCGCCCGTGCAGGGCTGCAGCTGGGGTAGGCAGAGACCAGTGGAAACTTCCGTTGACTGCCTCCCATGGGCCTCTGTCCTGCAGAAATCCACAGTGACACACTTAGCAAGCGGAGATGGGCTGCTGGCCTCCTAGCTTGCCTACCCCCACGAGCCTACCCCTTGAGCATGGCATGTCATCCCTCTCCCTTCAGCCTCATCTGTCAAGTGGAGCCATCCACTCCCCATGAGCACTTGGTTGTACCCGTTTCTGACATCAGAAGTCACTGGCCCCTGGCAGCGAGTTTTTTCCCCTCCCACCAACCCCAGTGCTTGTCAAAGTGACATAGTCAACACTCAGTAGACATTTACATGATGAATGAGTGAATGACAGCATTGCATACCCATTAAGAACACGGACTCTGGGGCTTGGCTCCAAATCTCTGCCTCTTACCAGCTGTGTGGACTTGAAGGAGTCCTCAAGCTCTCAGCGCCTTAATGCATTCGTTTGTTAGAGGAGAATAAGAAAAGTAGCTACCTTGCTGGGTTGTGGGATGTGTGTGTAGGGGGGGAATGAAGGAGTCCGTTTTTGTAAAGTGCTGAGAACAGTGCCTGGCACATGGTTCATTCTACATAAGCATTTGTTAAATAAATTTAAATTTTAAAAAAGAGTGAGATTCTATAAAGTACAGAAAAGCTATTTCTGCTAATCACTTGACAGCTGCTGCCTCCTCCCCCTTCCTTCCTGCTCTTCCTCATGCAAATTCGAAAAAG